GGAAGGTATGAAATCATGAAACCTATTTATTAGGAAGATAATTTTGGCAGCTGTGGCTTAGAGAGGGGAATGACAGAAGGGAGACTCATTAGAATGGTACTGTAAAAGTCCAGGAAAGATGACAAGGGACTGAAATAAGAGTATGAACAGAGAACATGATTGAATGACATGACAAATGTTAGCATCTACTTAATAAATGGTAGAATGTAGATATTCAGGGATAAGATCGTGTCAAAGATGACTTTGATAATTCAACAGTGGATAACTAGGAAGAGGTGCTACAATTAACAGCAATGAGAAAGCCTAAATGGGGGCCAAAAAAGAAGAGGATCATTAATTTATTTGAACTTGAAGTTACTGGAAAATCTGGTTTTCAGATAGTAGTTAGAGATGCAGGTCTGGAGCTAAGAGGAGAAAGACAGAGAGAGATAGAGACAGAGAGGAGAGAGGAAGAGAAAGAGGGAAAGAAAAGGACAGAGAAGAAGGAGGAGGAGGAGGAGGAAGGAGGAAGAAGAAGAAGAAAAAGGAGAAGAAAGAGAAAGAGAGAGAGAGAGAGAGAGAGAGAGAGAGAGAGAGAGAGAGAGAGAGAGAGAGAGAGAGAGAGAGAGAGAGGGGGAGAGAGATTGATTTGAGCTTCATCTGCACATTGATAGAAAATTAAACCATAGGATTAGAAGAGTTCACCAAAGGAGAGCATACAGAGAAAAAAGAAAGCCTAAGAGAGAGTCTTGAGGGAGACTCACAATTAGGAAGTGGGTTCCAACTTTACCTGTTGAAACCCTGTGGCTAGAATGGACTAATGCTTATGGAACCTGTCTCCCTAAAACACCCAGTATAGAACAGTGTCATGATTTCTCTCCTCCTGCCACTCCTTTCTCCATTCTGAGAGGGCAGACCTTTACTTCAAAGCTTCCCTGTTCTTTAAAGTTTGTATATGACTTCTAATTTAATTAGTGCCAAAGCCTGTTGAGATAAGGATATGATTAACTATAACTGCTCTGGGTTTCAGTGCTACAGCAAAGCACAATGGTTAGCGATCAGAGACAAGAAAGGAAGAGAGGTTTGGCTCTTTGTTTAAAATCAACAAGATTCTATCCTGACTGGGGGTACCTGAGCTAAATGAGAGAGAATCACACGGACTACGACATTTTATAAACTTTCTGAAGCAGAGCAAAAGCTAAATCCAGGACTTACCTTTGACAAGAGTCTGAGTCATGAGGAAGCAAATTTAAGTTGTGGAAGGAGGCTAACTTTGTAAAGAATAGGAGAGTTTACCTCAGGTACAGGTGCTTCGGTCAAGTTTACTCCCCTCCCTGTGCTCTTATGAAAAAGAAACTAGCTCCCTTCTGACCCTGAGTCAGGGTCAGAGTGAAGATGATGACTTAGAAAATGTCATCCACCTCCCGAAGAAAGTAATTGAGAAAGAATGGTCCCACCCACTCATAGGAAAGTAGAGTCCAGCTTCTTTGCTGGAGCAGTTTGTTTTCCTGTTGGACTAACTACATGGAACCACACAAACACACCACCATATTTATCTTTGTATTTCTCCAACAACTCTAAAGTACTGCGCTAGGGTAGGGCTGGCCATCTGCATGGGTGTAATGAGTGTCCATAACAATGAAATTTTAGTTCCTTTAACTGAAAGATATTAAAGCATTAAAATAACACCAGCCCCCCATGCATAGAAGAGGCCATTGTGAATATCTAGACCCTAACAAATTCTTGTTGAATGAACAGCGCTCATCTCTTGGTACATGGCATTTTTGTGGTTACCACTTCAACTATAATTAATTACGCAGTTTCACCTTCCCATCCGTTTTGATGGAGTTTTATTTCTCACTCTAATTTCTACTCTGGATTAATTTAGAAAGATTTAACGGTACCAAAATTTGACTGGACTTGGGAAAAGTCATGTAGTCACTTTTAATGTACTCATACAACCTACCACAAATGGGAATTTTTAGGACTTTTATTTTTGAAAGCTGCAAAGCAATACTGTAAACCTATGTAGTATGATGAAGCATAGTTTTGAACCATACTTAAAACTAGTATCTCTTAAATTAAGGCAAATAAATTATTTTCAGTTAATCTGAGGATGCCTTACAGTACACTGTTCGAACAAATTTGCATGTTAAATTATAGAGAGACTATTCAAGCACGGACAGCTAGGTGACACAGTGGACAGAGCCCCAGGCCTGGAGTCAGGAAGACCTGAGTGCGAATTTGGCCTCAGATGCTTACTATCTGTGTGACTCTGGGCAAGTCACTTAACCCTGTTTATTTCAGTTTCCTCATCTATCAAATGAGCTAAAGAAGGAAATGGCAAACCACTCCACTATCTTTGCCAAAAAAAAAAACCCCAAATGGGGTCAAAGAAAGTCAGACACAACCAAAACAACTGAATAATAACAACAAAATCCAAGCATGTAAATTAAGATAAATTTAACATTAATAATAAATTTTGTCAAGATTATGTCCAAGATAGCTTCCCATACTTGATTCTGCTGAATTTGTTACTGGGAAGACCTGCAGTCATCTACAAGCTGGGTAGCCCTAGGCACATCACTTAACTTCTCTGATCATCAGGCAACCCGTTAAGGGTCAACTGTAGATGCATAGCCACCCCACATAAAAGAATTATAAATGCTTTGGCTTCTTAAACTAAGAGGATAAGATAGTAGAAGAGGCAACTCTTCAAGGTTAGTAGTACGGAGGCTCCTTACACCACTCCTTAACACATCTCCAATCCAAAAGCACCATCTCAGGTCACCAAGAGTGTTTATTAAGCAACTCCTCTACCAAGCATTAGGTGAAAGAAGAGGGAGCCAATTTACAAAGAGTGCTTCTGAGCACTTACACCTGCTTTGATAGATCAGTGAAGAAAAACCCCAACCCATCCGTGCCTACCGAACCTGGGAAACTCTTATCCATGTCTTCCTGTAAATCCACCACAGCAATAGGGGCCTTTCTCTTGACATCACATAGATACCAATGGAGCATATGGACTATCCATCAGTTAGCCCTCCTTCTAGCCCCCTGACCTACTCACGTCAGAAATCAGAAATTGTGTCTTAAAAGTGAGACCAACTAGTCCCATGATCTCAATTCAATTCAAATACCTCGTGTGCTAGGCATTGGACAAATTGAAAATGTTACCTATTAAAAGTAGTTAACTTTGTACAATTTGTACTCTGAAAATTTTAGGCTGAGGAAAATTTTCTTTCAAACCACAAAAAATCGAAGTATGAATCAATTTCCTGTGAGCTAATACTGGTAATCAAGTTGACAAAGCTCTCTAGAGACATCAAACATGATTACATCTTTGCTCATTTTACAGGTACATTCATAATCAAGGCCCAAAGAAAGTCACATGTGGATTGTTTTTCTCCCCACTAAAGTTGTATGAAAGAAAGTGTTCTATAATTAGGCAAGAAACATAACCCAGAAGTCAAATTTAAAAGGAGGCAGCTAGGTGGTGCAGTGGATAGAGCGCTGGGCCTGGAGTCAGGAAGATGAGTATTCCTCAGTTTAAATCTGGCCTCAGACATTTGCTAGCTGTGTGGCCCTGAGCAAGTCACTTAACCGTATTTGCCTCAGTTTCCTCATCTGTAAAATGAGCTGGAGAAGGAAATGGCAAAGCACCCCCGTATCTTTGCCAAGAAAACTCCAAATGAGGTCAAGAAGAGGCAGACGTGACTGAAACAACAATAACAAAGTTAATACTAACCCCAACAACAAAAATTAAAAATGATAGGAGGCAAAAGGAGAAATAATAATAGAATCACAGACATAAATTTATACCTCTTTGAGATTTGCAAAGTACTTTACATATATTATCATTTGATCCTCACAACAGCCCTGTGGAGTAGGTACTATTATTATCTCCATGTTACAGATAAAGAAACTGAGTCCAAGAGAGGTTAAATGATGTACCTAGAATCACATTTCTAGTAAATATCTAAGGCTGCATTTGAACTGAGGTTTTCCTGATCCCAAGTCTCAATCCCTTTACAGAAGGAGAGGGGAAAAAAAAACTAACAATATCTGTTCAATTAATGATCTGTATAACTATAGTTATGTCCACCCCACTCCAATTCTGGCCTTTTATTTTCCAGACTTGTAATTTCTTTAATTTAGGGAACTCCTCAGGAGGAAAACTCCTAGCAATTCAAGTCAGCACCTGTTCTGCAAATGACAGTCTCAGAGAGTTGTCCTGGGCACTGAGAGATTTGTCTCTACACAACCATGAGTGTCAGGAGCAGGACATGAACAGTGACCACACATCCTGGATTTCCTGGGATTTGCTATTACTCTGTTCCAGTGTTCTCATAAAGTATCAAAAATGTCCTGGCAGCTTCCTTATTTCAGCAAACAATAGCTGAATGAATCAAGTCAATAAGCATTTCAATAATGAGACACATTAGTCATAAAAGAATGAAAGCCAAAAAAGACAGAAACTAATAGGCTGAAGAAATAGCAGGACTGTTTTCTAAAGTGGGGCAGAGTGTATGTATGTGGTATGTGAGATGCAGGTAACACTGGGACAGCCGTATTTCCATTTGTAAAGCCAATTGATGCCATACTCTGTGCTCATAGGGGCACCCATATAAATTTCCTGATTTGGAGGGACACTGATTAGACAATGCAGTTTTTCAAAAGATGATGCATCCTGATGCGTCATATTTTCAGACAACAAAATCATGAGTGGAGAGAACAAAAACAGCATGAGGTTAACTGAGCGAGCACAGAAGACTTGTATATGACTTCAACTTACTGTGTTCCAAGACCAATGGGTGCTGGAATTTGAAATGCTCTTTGGAAAGGTGTAAACCTGCCCTTCTGAAATGTAAGGAGAGCAGAGTTGTCACACCACCAGGGCATTTGGCTGTTCATTGCTTGATGGCTCAAACCAGAACCTTTGAAACACAGAATGTACTCAAACATCATGTTGATTTAATAGTACATTAAAATATGTGTATTAAAATAAAATTATTTCTTACCTTTGTGCCTCTTCAGCTGGGGGAAGCTGCTGATTGTTGTTGCTTGTATTATTTCTACTACAATCTGATACCTGATTTAAGAGAAGAAAAGAGAAAGGTTGATTAGGAAGGAAAGGACCTTTTATCAGCAGCACTTTTATCCAATACTTATATAAGTCATAAATAGCATAGGGTATTTGAATATTGTACAAATTTCATCTCTAGAACCTTGTGGAAGACCCTCAACCATAGGTTACTTGGGATCACTGCTATTCACAAAACCAGAATAAGAGATCAAATAGGTTCCAATACAGTGAAATAAGAAATGTATATCCTAAGTTAAATGTGGGCATCCCTCAAGACATTTTTTCTTTCCTGGATATCACAGGTAAGAATTTCAAAAAAGCAAGTTTTTTGGAGGTAATGTTCCATACAAAGAGTTGGGAATCAGACCAGTGTTGTAACCTGGGATCTGCCAATAACGAACTGCATAACAGCTCTAGCAAATTACTTAATTTTTCTAGGCTTCGGTGCCCTCACCTGTCAAACTGGGGGTGGGTGTGTACTGGACTAAGACAAACTCTAAGGTGTCATCTAAAACATTCTCTGGCTTTATAATCTGCAACCTCAATATTCTTGAGCTCCAGTGCCAGCAGATAGGCTAACATTCTTCCTTATACTTTTCCTTATCAATGTTTATCGACTGACTGGATATTCTATCCTTTCTATTCCTCCTCCGGAGCAGGGCTGGTATTGTTGGGAGATGACACAAAAAGTAGATTTCATGTGGCAGTTAGGTGGTACAGTGGATAGAGCGCTGGGCTTGGAATCAGGAAGATTCATCTTCATGAGTTCAAATCTGGCCTCAGACACTTAACTAGTCTGGCCCTGGGCAAGTTATTTAGCCCTGTTTGCCTAAGTTCTTCATATGTCAGATGAGCTGAAGAAGGAAATGGCAAACCACTCTTGTATCTTTGCCAAGAAAACCCCCAAAGGGGGAGGAGGGGGTCACAACGAGTCAGACATGACTGAAACAACAACCGTAACAAAGTTGCTTATATGTTACCTATCTTATTAGAATGCATGCCCCTTTAGGGCAGGAACTGTTTTTGCTTTTCTTTATATCCCAATTTAATACCACATTTGGCACATAATAAGTACTTAATTAAAGCTTGTTACTTGGTTGACCAATTCTCCTTCCTTTATGGAATCATATAATCAGAGACACAAGAGACCTTAGTAGCCATCACATCTAGCTCCCTCACTTTACATATGAGGAAACTGAGGCACGGAGATGTTAAGTGGTTTGCACAGTCACACACCTAGTTAAGCGAACTGCTGAATTAATTTTCCTAAGACGTGGACCTGATCATGTCATTCCCCTACTCAAGAGGCTTTACATATTCCAATGGCTGCAACGCAAGCTCTTTGATCTTACATTTGTCACTAAATGAGTTAACATAGGAAAATAATTTTGCAAACTTTAAGCAGTATTTAAGTGCTAGCTGTTATTAAAACCCTTGCTACCTGGCCCCCTCTTCCCTTTCTAGCTTTATCTCCCATTATTCCTCTTTCTGTAGGGTAAGTCTTAGCCAGACCAGATTAATTGCTATCTTATCTTATCCTGCTCTGACCCATCTCTGAGTGGTGACCACCTCCCATACAGCCAATTAATACTCACACACCTTCCCTGACTTCCTTTAAGTTCCAAGTAAAATCCCATCTTTTACAAGACCTTTCAACATGCTTATTAATTCTAATGTCCTCCCACTTTTAATTATTTCTTACTTATCCTGTATGCAGCTTCTTTGTACTTATCTGTTTGTTTGTGGTCTCCCCCTTTAGAATGTAAGCTCCTGGAGGGCAGAGACTGTCTTTTGCCTCTTTTTGTATTCCCCACACTTAGTACCTTGGCTGGCACACAGTAAGCACTTAAAAAATGTTTACTGACTAGCTAACTATTGTCACACTTCTCTCCCTTCAGAATCCCGCTAAGATACCACCTCCTCCATAAACACTTGTCTGACTCTTCTCCCACTGCCTGCCACTGCCACCACCGCCACCACACCCAGGTGAAAGGGTTCTCTCTTTCCACAAACTTTCCCATAGCCTCTTGTCTGGCTCCTCCCATTGTCCTCAGCACATACTACCTATGTTGCATCGACTCAATTCAACAAACCTAAGTCAGGCCAGTCTGTAATTCACAGACTAAAACTTGTCACAACAAACTCCACAAAACATTTCCCACATTTCTCCTTGATCCCTTTTGCTGAGTTTTTCTGGTCCTTGAAAATGACACGGAACTAATCAAGTCATTACTTGGTCATTATCTTTTGTGCAGCCACCTAACTTCTTGTTGTTCATCCTTCATTTTTAAAAAGGACCAATTCGCCTAACTTGCTTACACAGGAAAATTAAAAAAAAAATGCTTCCAAGATCACTATGGACACATCAAGATTATAACAGGAAGAATATATAACACTTCTAATGTTTGTTTGTTTGTTTTTTTAACCAGTGGAGAGTGAGTGATGCCAAGATAGCTAAATATTGGGTAGTTTAAAAATATAAAATGCAAAGTAAAAGAAGGATTTCTTTTTCCCCCTTCTGACTTGCAAAGGGCTCAAAAAGTGGTTGCGTATGTTACTGTTACAAGTTGTTTCTCTTACAAAGAAGTTAATGATTGAGTTAATTCCTATTTTCTTAATAAATTTTTTAAAATTATGAACTTAAATATAAATAAGAAAAAAGAAACAAATGCAAAATAAGGAAAGAAAAAATTACTATGTGCACAGCAGAATGAGAGGTTTCAAAATATAAAGCTATAAATTTCCATTTGAAGAAAGCCTATATAATAAACACTACACATTGTGCTCAGAGCTGTCCATTTTTGCTTTCTTGTAGGTTTTACTTTGTTTTCTGCTGCGCACTTTTTACTTGTTCTTCCCTCCCCCATCCTCCTCCCATCCCCAGGAGGCTACAATTAAATGTTGATATATATATATATATATATACACACATACACACACCCACACCCACACGTGTGTGTATATACACACATATATATACACGCACACACATACATATACACAAACATGCATGCGTATACTTACATACATATACATATAGATAGATATCTATAATCATACACATATACATTCATAGGCATCTATGGAAGACCATACTGTAATTGCTTGTCCTCTGTTTCTCTAAAGGCAGATAACATCTCCCTTCATAAATCCAAGTCTTTCCACATTTTTCTAAATTCTACCAACTTAACATTTCCTATACTACACCAATATTCCAACTTTATACTGTACAGTTATTTTAAATAGTCTAAAACAATATTAATATGGCTGACATATAGTTTCCCTGCTTTTCTCTTTGGATTAAATCTATTTTAGTTTTAACTTTGAGATCATGATTACTATCCCTGCTTTTTTGCTCCTAATAAATTGTGCTCACAATATTTATTTTGTGTTTGTATGTATCTTATTGCCTATCCCTTTGGAATCCTATACTTTGATTCTGATGGGGTGCTTGGGTGCTTATGCTCAGACACCACTTCCAAGATTATATTTCTCCCTAGCTTCAAGGCACTATCTCTGACAGTTTCCCTGTAGCCCAAGGACCCTGTCTCTGGCAATAATTCATGAGTGGTCCCAGTGAGGGAAACTATCTCTCCCTGTTACAAGAACAAGCTGACCTCTGTAGAATTTCCCTTGTGCGAACGACTATCTTGTACCAGCAGAAGTATCAAGTACTGATGCCCACAGTTACCGTATACAATGCAGAGGTCAAGCTACAGACGTCAGCTCCTGATACTATCTTGTTTCAGACATAACAAACCAAAATATACTCTTTAAGAACCCTCTCTTCCCCCACCTCACTTTCCAGTAGTGGATGACACAGTTGTCTGTTATCACCTAGTTAGCATATTTGCCACTTCATTCACTACTTTCCCTTCAGTATTTTTCTGGGTCTGCTTTAGCAAGCTGTGGACTTGTTTTTCATGATTTTCTTGCATCACTCTCATTTTTCTTACCAGTGTTTCCTCTACTTCTCTTACTTGCTTCTCAAAATCCTTTTTGACCACTTCCATGGCCTGGGACAAGTTCATATTTTTCTTGCAGGCTTTGGATGTAGGAGCTTTGACTTTGTTGTCTTCTTCTAGTTGTATGTTTTGATCTTTGTCACCAAAGAAAGATTCTATGGTCTGACTTTTTTTGTGCTGTTAGCTCACAATCCCAGCCAATTACTTGAGTTTTAAACTCTTTGTTAAGGTAGGGGTCTGCTTCCAGTGTGGAGAATGTACTGTCCCAAGCTTCGGGGGCTTTGTGTAGCTGCTTTCAAAGACACTTCTAGGGACCTGTAAATTTTCAGTTCTTCTAAGGTGCTATGATCAAAGACAAGGTGCTACTCCTTTCCTGGCCTGTGCTCTGGTCTAGGAATGACCACAAGTACTCTTTTCTGCCGTGGAACTGTGAGGAGGACACCTTCTTCATTGCCACCACAAGCTCTGCCATGCCAGTGCTCCTCCTCACCACAGGATCACCACTCAGGACTGCAACCAAGATCCCAGCATGGGCAAAGCAAGGGAATCCTGCCTCAGTGCCAGCAAAGAGATCCCTGCAATCTCCCTCTGATCAGCCACTTGATCCCCTCTCTGTCTGTGGGCTGAGAGCTCAGGAAGCAGCCACTGCCCTGGGGCTGAGCTGGGACTGGGGTGGGACCGAACTTCTCTCTCACCCAGGTTGGGGAAACCTCTCCTATTGACCTTCTAAGTTGTCTTTTGGCATTTGTGGGTTGAGAAGTCTGGAAACTGTCATAGCTGCCCATGATTCAATCCCGAGGCCTGCTTCAGGATCACTGAGGCCTGGTCTTTGGTGGTACAGCCCACACTGAACTGCGCTCCTCTCCCAGCCTAGTGCAAGAGATCTTTCCTGCCAACCTTCCAGGTTGTCTTGGGCTGCAAACTTGCCTCATTCTGTCTTTTTTCTGGGCTCTGCTACTCTAGAATTTGTTTAGAGCCATTTTCCACAGGTATTTGGAGGGGTTTGGGGGAGAGCTCAAACAAGTCACTGCTTTTACTCCA